TAATTTAATTTTTTTTTATAAATATATTCTATAAATCTTCAAATATTAAATATATTTATTTAATTACAAGTTAATATTTAAATTTTGTATAATTACATTTTAATTCAAATATATCAAGTTGGTATATTATGCTTAATGAGATGACCAATATATATATAGACAAGATTAAATTTTAAATAAGCTAAAATGAATAATCTCTTTGAATAAATTTACCAAGGTATTTAAATTTTTATCTGCCAAAATTCACTTCTATTGACCTGCCTTGCGATCTAAATTCAATACAAGGATATAGAATGCCTTTGAAATCGCTATGTAGATAGCATACAATTTCTTAAAATATTTTATAATTATTGAATTTTAATCTATTTATTTTAAAAAATATAAACTTAATTTCTAAATTGTTGGTTACCCAAGTTAATTTCATTTTTAGTATAAAACAACATCTTATTTCTAAAATTTTTTAGATAGCATCCAATGATATTACCTGTAATATATCTAGAAGGATCTGATAAATTATATATTCTGCCACTTCCTGAGGAAAAAGAATATTCATCATTACCATGATAACTACACCCCCATGACTCATCTTTCTTATTTTCCTGTCCTGAAAGATATGACATAGGTTTTAATATATAATAATAAGAAAATTAAATAAAAAAAATTGCTATTACCAGGCATTTTTATATTATTTATATAATTTGAATTATCTATTTTTTTATTGCTTTGCTTTGTACAATATCTGATTCCAATTATTCTATTAAGAAAATAGAATTAAAAGGTTATAAAAATTACCAGAACAAAGGTGATACTTATGGTATAAAATAATATCTATTTATTGAATACAAAGCAGCCAATAACAGAAATTATTTGTACCATATAGTCATGAAATAATACACCTCTGCATTATTTTGGATGCCTATGTGTATTATTTTGAAACAGAGTTAAAATTTTGAGCTTATGTACATATATCAAATTTGTTAACACATTCTATAGAAAGTGGGCATTATTTTAAATCAAATATGATGTTTTTAAGGGTGCAATTTTCAAGACAATGCTCATGTGCATCACTTCATGATTATACAAGCAAATAATTTCATTATCTGTCAATAACAGTATTATCTGGTATCTTACGATAACTGAAAACAAAATGACTCTAGTTTTTTTAATGAGGATTGCATCATCATCAATAATGAATTTATTTAATGATGATGCAATCATCAACAAAATAATTCGAGTTATTCTGTTGATATGATTATAGTAAGGTGACGGATAATTCTAATATTACCCATTTTTTCCTTTATCTATAATTATAATTTCAAAGTAAAATATCCTACACTCTGGAGAGATTGGATTATTTGCTCGAATGATTACAGCATTATAGTAATCAGGATCTTTAATTAAAAGAGTTTTAATAAATTAAACAGTTATGATAATATTCCTTTAAATGCTGATGATTACAGTAACATATTAAATATGTTTTGGCAAGATTTCTTATTTCCATATTACTTGTATAACATACTTTAAGTCCACTTAAGTCTATATCAATAAATGGGGATTTATCTTCAATATCCTATGCAGTTGGTAAAACCAATTCCATTGCTGTAAATTAAAATTCAATTCAGATCTTTGTTAATGAGCAAAAGAAATATTTTGAATACAATGTATTATTTATGTTTAACTGCAAGTAGACAATCAATTATACTGATAGCTATGAATACTATATGGGTACGTATATATATTATGGTCATCCAAATTTTTGATCATCTGAAGTTTTTATAATTATTATTGCTTGATCAGAAACTTTATTGTTATTCAAAAAAAAAACATATGGGAATAGGTTCGCTATCAAGCCTATTCTACTCTTACAAAGTGGTGACCTGTGCCCTTCTTAATGGTCAACTTTAAACAAACTAATTATCATAGTTCTTACCCTTAAATTTTCTTTAACTCTTGCACTATTCTGATGTCTCAGACCAAACAACTATCCCACTCAATAAAATACCTTCCCAAAACAATGCTAAACAACCTTATCAGAGTGATAAATGATATTTGCATAGCTAAAAAGATAATTGAGTTGCTAAATGATATGTGCTTCTTCACACATAACTATAAACTTTTTTATGATCCTTGCACTATCATTACAGCTGCAGAACTAAAAATAACTTGAAGATTCTTGCACTACTAAGGCAGCCATGAAGTCCCTATTCTTATAAAATAAACTAAGGCCCAATTGTATAGTCATTATACTGTGCATAGCTGCTAAGTCACTTACTATTAGAGGGAGCAGATGGAATGAATAAGCCAGCCTTTTCTAAGGCGAATGATAGTAAAGCAAAAGATGGTTATTATCTCTTACACTGTTATCTTTATAACACCTTCTCTTTCCCTTACAATTCACATGCACATATTTTTTTTCAAACTCCTGAGCCTGATAATCACTACTCTTTTATTGATATTCATAACAACTTAAACAATAATTAATTATATGTAATCATAAACCTAGTATCATTATAAACCTGCATCTAACAAGAACTTTAATAAAAAACATTAGACTAATCTAAAATAGAACATAAACAAAATCAAAACACTAATCAGATTTGCAATAAAATTATCTGATCTTGCAATAATGAATGTTCTGTTACTTTATTGATGAATTATCATTATTATTGCTCAATTAGAAACTTTATTATTATTTGAAGAAAAAACATATAGGAACTAGAAGAGGATCATTACTAGTCAAACCCTATTTTCTTAGAAATATGTAGCTTGGATGTCTCTATTGATCTTAAATACAACATTACTACTTTACTGTCCCATTCTTCTATAATTTGAATTTGTGTCAAAGATAGACCTGCCTCTATTGCAGTTGTAGTACCACCAATTCTAATACTATAGGCAGTATACCTTTCTTGCAAGCTTGCATTTTCTGCTATTCATTTAATGATAGCATCTATAGCACAAAGTTAAGTATTAATTTATTTTTTTTTACAAAATCAAAAATTTCCTGATTTTGTTATTTGTTAATCTGACAGTAGGTTTTCTTGTTTTGAAAGAAAAAGTGGATAGTCATTAGGAGTTCTTAGTCTAATTAATAAATAATTTTTTAACAACCTAACTAAACAGTAAGAATTTTTTGTATACTCTATAAGTATAAACCTTCTATTTACAAACTGGTCAGTTTTGAAAAAAAACTACACAAATCCAACACAGGTTCTTATTAAACTTAATATCCTTGAGTCTTAACTTGCATAACTCTTCTGAATGACACATAGTTCCCAATCCAATTAATATCAATGCTGCATCTCAAATCTAAAATTTTTTACTTACAAAGAATGGCTTGTTGTCTATGAAGTACCTTAATGCTGACACTAAAAAGAGATCATATAGCTATTCAGAATTCTTAATCTTCTCCAGTATTGTCATTAAAATTTTCATCCTCATATAATATATGTAGTACAATCGGTCAATTGATATAAATATAATCAAAATAATGTATCAAGTCTTTTTTGTCACAACAGTAATAAAGAAATGAAGAGGAAGAGATGTTTTTTAAATTTCTAATAGTTACCACAGGTTGAATAAATGAATAAAAGGTGAATAATAGATAAATAACAGAAAAAAAATCTGCCATTATTCTACCTTATATCTACCAAATAATGGTAGTATAACAGCAGCATAATAGCAGAATAACAGTAAAATAACTGAAGGTTTGTCAATATGAGTAACATAATAGTAACATAATAGCAAAATAATAAAATAGTTCTATTATTTTACTTTTAGTT